GCGGCACCCTTTAATGCATAACGTTTAACACTTGACTGACTCTTATTTTTCATTCATATTTTATAATTAAATATTATAATAGAATAATTATAATATTTAATTTCCAACAATGTTAATTACCTGCAGGCTGGAGCTTATAGCATCAAAGTGGTTTTATGGCCAAACTCCGTTCCTCCATTGCCCAGTTTTACTTTTATCTTGTTGCAAAATTTTGGAACAACCAACAATCTAGTATTTTGCACGTGATGGATTGTCCTAGTGATTAGGGCCGCCTTCAACCAATTACGTCTTAGGTTGGAGTAAATTAGTATTTTGGTTCGGAAAAAAGAAAAAAGAAGACAAAAGCTAGTAATTTTTGGTTACCAATTAACTCAAAACAGCATCAGTACGTACTTGTTGCTGCTAGGCATAAGTCACATGAGTCTTAGACTGTTACTAGTCTTTATCAGCCTCTAGCCACAAATCGCCCACCAAGAGAAATTATCGACAGCATGACTCGAACTTAGGTCTTGGTCTAGGAAAGAGAACGATCATTACCACTCGTTGGCTTAGTTTTTAATTTTATTTTGCTTAGAGTTAAAGGAGAAAGTATATGAGAGAAATGAGGAGTGGAAAAAGGGAGAGTTGGTGGGAGAGTTTAAAAGAAATGATTATCAAGCAGGAGCAATTCTAAGTCATAATTTATTGTAAAACTAACAATTTATTGCCTTTTTGTTTGGGCTATTTTATTGACACTCCACATATTGTTAAATATACCCCACATATATATTAAATTCACACTACATCTACTTTTTCAGTTACAGGTTATCTTAATATACCCCACATATCTTCCGCTACTACCCTCGCACTGCACACTATATACACCTCACACTCAACTTACACCCCACATCAAACAATCCTTCTTTTTTACTCAATTTCCCCATAACTGTTCTAACTATAGCTCTAATTTTTATGAATCAGACATGCGCCCCCTTTTTTTTTGGGAGTTTTAACGAAAAACCCACGGTACTGTTCATTTTAACGAAAAATCACATTTTTACACTAAAAAGTCAAACCTGGTACTATTCACTTTACCCTTTATTTTGTCCTTATCATTAAAACTCAAAGTTTTCAAACCCTTTTCATTAGTTTTCCTCTTTTTTTTTTTTTAGGAAACTTGATTTAATCCTTGACAAAGATGACTTTTAGACTAAAATCATAAGTTAAATCAAAATCTAACTTAGCACGATATTGTCTACCTAGCATGATATTGTCCACGTCGGGCCCCTAAGGGGGGTGGATTTTAAACATCCCACATTGCCCAGGGGAGTGGATCCTGTAAGCTTTATATGTATATTCTCATCTCTACCTAACACGAGGCCTTTTGGGACCTCATTGGCTTCGGGTTCCATCGAAACTTTGAAGTTAAGCGAGTAGCGCGCGAGAGCAATCCCATGATGGGTGGACCACTGGGAAGTTCTCGTGTGAGTTCTCAGAAATAAAACTATGAGGGCGTGGCCAGGATCCAAAGCTGACAATATCGTGCTACGGTGGTGACGGCCAGCACGTCTTGATTTTGGTCGGAATGTGTCATTTAGGCACATTCATTGAGTCTTTCAAGTTTGAAGAATGTTAAATAAAACTAATAAATTTAAAAAAAAAATTGGTCAAAAAATAAATTAAAATGTGTAATGGAGACATTGAATAAAATACACATTAATTAATTTGAATTAAGGACACATCAAGGGACTATATCCAATATGTAATCTGGCATTAGGATTTTATTAATTTTTATCTTTTTCAAGGATTAAGGTTAAAAAAGCCTTTTTCTAACCTTTATACTGAATTGTAAAATCAAAATATTATTTAATACAAAACCAAAATATTAATCCACCACAAATAATCAAGGAAATGTTCTCATATAGTCCAGAATAAAGTAATTGTGGCAAACAATGTAATACAGGTTGATGGCACACCCTTTGAACACATTATTGGTAATTATTCAACAAACAATGTAATACTGGGGATCAATTCTCTGATTATGTGACTATCTTTACGGCTTGGGAGCAAGACCAGCCTTCAGCTTTTGAATGGTGCCAACATCAGTCTTGAAGGAGATAGCCAACACATTGTCGTCGATGCCGGTGGTGAACAAGGTGGAGGGTATTGATACAGTTCCTGCATTTGCACTTCCAAATGCAGAAATTGCTATGGCTGGGTTTTCTGCATCAGCATTGTACTGGAAGTGCGCAAGTCCCTTGGGAAACACAAATAGATCACCTGTCTGAAGCGTCTGCGTAAAGAGGTTGTTTTTGGTGTCAACGAAACCAACTTCAAGGGTACCACCAACGAGGAAAAGTAGCTCAGCCGAGCGAGGATGAGTGTGTGGTGGGTTGGTAGTGCCATTTGGGAACTGAAGGACGGCATACGAAACACTCTGCCCATTAAGAGCAGGGAATTCAGCCAAGGATGCCTTCATAGCCTTGAAGGCTGTGGGAGGGTCTCCTTCAACAAGGGCACGAAAGCCGGTGTATGTAAAGAAGTTTCCATCTACAGTTCCATTTGCATTTGGAGGCACTATGAAGTCAGTAAGAATGTCCGGGTCTCCCGCTATTGCTATTTGGACAATGGCAAATGAGAAAATTATTAGTGAGAAGAATTTGAGGCTGGAAGTTCTGGAGGCCATTGTTGAAACCTGATTAACTTAATTTCAGTTGGATGAGATATTTGTGCTTCTAGGGGCTATATATAGGGTGATGGTTGTGTCAATTCTATAGAGAAGGCAACAACAGCATTCGAATTTATTAATTTGTTGCTGCAGGCCTTGCTGTAGTTGCAGTTTACAAAATTAATTTATTTCATGTTAACTTAGTCGAACATTACGATGTTTCCTTGTAGTTCCAGTAGGAAACAATGAAAGTTAGGGCTCTAGCTTATCTTGAGCAGCATTGAATATATAGATGGAGTAGAACAGAAGTATATGCTTGTGAGCATTTGGCTTTGTTCACAAAATGTTCCTTGTTGAGTAATAATATTACAACACAATAGGGTATATGTTCATTCAGTTCTGATTCTTGACACCCACAAGACGTTAATTCCAGCTTAACCTTTGCTTTATAGAAAAAGTATAGCGAGAACAGCTTTGTACAGAAAGACTTGCCAAACTGGAGATGAAGATTACAATGTAATCGTTGTCGTAGCTGCGGTACCACAGTTGTTAATTTGTATTTTTTTTCTTGGAATAGAAACAAGAGATAACAACTCTTGCTTAACTTCTCCAATACTAATATTAAATAGAAATAAATATTAATAGAAGTAATGTATGTTTTGACGTCCCTTTTTGTTTTTTATTTTGTTGGTTAGACCCTTTTTGGTTCAAGGTATGGGCTGAATTAACAACATCCATTGCTATCTGTTAATCAATGTTAATTACCTGCAGTCTGCAGCTTATAGCATCAGAGTGGTCGTATGGCCAAACTCCATTCCTCCGTTGCCCAGTTTTATATTATCTTGTTGCAAAATTTTGGAACAACCAACAATCTAGTATTTTAGTTCAACCAATTGCGTCCCAGGTTGGTGTAAATCAGTATTTTGGTTCGGAAAAAAGAAAAAAGAAAACAAAAACTAGTATTTTGGGTACCAATTAACTCAAACAGCATCAGTACTTCTTGCTGCTGGACATAAGTCACATAATTCTTAGACTGTTAATAGTCTTTGTCAGCCTCTAGCCGCAAATAACACTACAAGAGTTAAAAAAAAAAAGAAAAAAATGAATTCGTTCAATAATACAAAATTTTACGGCACATTTTGTCATCTGCTTTAGTCTTTAGTTTTTAGTTTTTGTTTGTGTATTTTAAAAGATCAGGGGGAGGGGAGGCTACCCATCCAAGGTCCAGGGCATACCACAAGCCAATTTGAGAACTTACAAAGAAGGGTCTTAGCTCTTTTTTTATTTTTATAGATCGCCGACCAAGATGAATTTTCGACAGCAGGATTCGAACCTAGGTCTTGGTGTAGGGAAGAGAACGATCATTACAAGTCGTTGGCTTAGCTTTTAGTTTTCTTTTGCTTAGAGTTAAAGGAGAAAGTATATGAGAGAAATGAGGAGTGGAGAAAGGGAGAGGTGGTGGGAGGGTTCAAAAGAAGGGTAATGCTAACAAGACTAAATTTTTTAAACCAAAATTGCAAACCAAATGTTGTTGTTGCAGATGATTGTTTTATTAACTAAGTGTCGATTAACATGCTTATTTCTTATTAGTGACACATTATTTGGTTTACAAATTTTGTTAAAAAATTTGGTCTCCCTAGCATTACCCTTAGAATTGATTGTCAAGCAGGCACAATTCAAAATCATAATTTATTGTAAAACTAACAGTTTATTGCTTTCTTGTTTGGACTATTTTATTGACAACCCACATTACTCAATGCACCTCACATTCTAAATTCACACCGCATCTACTTTTTCAGTTACAGCTTATCTCAATACACCATCCACATATTTTCCACTACTACCTGCACACTCCACACTATACATATGGATTTAGAATTATCTCCCCTCCTCTTTCCATCCCTTTCCCTCCCCTTCTCTCACATTCTCTATTTTGACTTTCTCTTTCTATATAAAATTAATATAAGATGTTAACATGACTTAACCGTGATCGTTTAAATAAGAGGGGAGTGAAGGGAAGGGAAAAAAAGAGGGGAGAGAATCCAACTCCCTATACATACACCTCACACCCTCTTCATAAACCCACATCGAACAACCCTTCTTGCTTACTCAATTTCCCCTGAACTGGTCCAACTACAGCTCTAAGTCTTACGAATCAGACATGCCCCCTTTTTAAAAAAAAAAACTTTTATACTGAATTGTAAAAGCAAAATATTATTTAATACAAAAAAAGGAAAACATTAATCCACCACAAATAATCAAGGAAATGTTATGATATAGTCGAGAATAAATTAATTATGGCAAACAATGTAATACAGGCTGATGGCACACCCTTTGAACACATTACTGGTAATTATTCAACAAACAATGCAAGACCACCCTTAAGCTTTTGAATGGTGCCAACATCAGTCTTGAAGGAGATAGCCAACACATTGTCGTTGATGCCGGTGGTGAACAAGGTGGAGGGTATTGATACAGTTCCTGCATTTGCACTTCCAAATGCAGAAATTGCTATGGCTGGGTTTTCTGCATCAGCATTGTACTGGAAGTGCGCAAGTCCCTTGGGAAACACAAACAGATCACCTGTCTGAAGCGTCTGCGTAAAGAGGTTGTTTTTGGTGTCAACAAAACCAACTTCAAGGGTACCACCAACGAGGAAAAGTAGCTCAGCCGAGCGAGGATGAGTGTGTGGTGGGTTGGTAGTGCCATTTGGGAACTGAAGGACGGCATATGAAACACTCTGCCCATTAAGAGCAGGGAATTCAACCAAGGATGCCTTCATAACCTTGAAGGCTGTGGGAGGGTCTCCTTCAACAAGGGCACGAAAGCCGGTGTATGTAAAGAAGTTTCCATCTACAGTTCCATTTGCATTTGGCGGCACTATGAAGTCAGTAATAATGTCCGGGTCTCCGGCTATTGCCATTTGGACAATGGAAAATGAAAAAATTATTAGTGAGAAGAATCTGAGGCTTGAAGTTCTGGAGGCCATTGTTGAAACCTGATTAACTAAATTTGAGTTGGATGAGATAGTTGTGCTTCTAGGGAGGTTGATGGTTATGTCGATTCTAAAGAGAAGGTAACAGCATTCGAATTTATTAATTTGTTGCTGCAGGCCTTGTTGTAGTTGGAGTCTACAATATTAATTTTTCTCGTTTTAAATTAGTCTAACATTACAATGTTTCCTAGTAGTTACAGTAGAAAACGATGAAGGTTAGAGCTCTAGCTTATTTTGATCAGCATTAAATATATAGATGAAGTAGAACAGAAGTATATGCTTATGAGCATTTGGCTTTGTACAGTTCTGATTCTTGACACCCACAAGACGTTAATACCAGCTTAACGTTTGTTTATAGAGAGAACATCTTTGTAGAGAGACTTGCCAAACTTTCTTATTGTCTATTTGTTGGGACTCTCTTTGGTGCTCCACTGTACTGGGTACTCTCTGTGTTTAGTATTTATGTGATTTTAGCTAAAATAAGTTTATGTTTTTACTTGTTTTAATTAGAGCCCTTGGATTATATTCCCAATGGATGCTCAAGATTAAGTTAGAGTAAGTAGTGTTGCGTGACATATGTAACTATCTCATAGGATAGATAACATGAATGGGTTAGATTGTTTTTATTCCGTTAGGGGAGAGAGAAGGGCGATATTCCCTCCCCAGGGCAACGGTAATATTCGTTTTGCTATGTAAGAGAGAGAGTGAGCAATTTCAATAAAATGAGTGCGAGGCTTCCATCACTGTGAAGCTCTTTGAAATTATTCAAACCTTCATCCAGAAATCTTTTTAGATCCATTGAATCACAGTACACAAATCACACATCTAACACTTACGCTAGAAGAACAAAAGGCCTGGGGCTAGGGTGAGCTAACAGGGGACTGCATAAGTTAACGAATACGTGCAAGCCCAGTCAAACATGACTGTTTTAGGCAGAGCAGGCCACCACCTTCGAATGGTGTTGGTCCTATGAATCGTGATGGTTATATGTGGATTTTAAGTGAAAACTTATTGAACCCTTTTGAGATTTTGAGCCTCTTGCATATTCTTTCTTGTGAGTTTCATGATAGCATTATTATACACTAGAACTTGCTTCAATATCTCTCGAGGCGAAATCCTAAGTCATGCAACATTAGAGAGATGATTAAGGCCATGTTCGGATCGTTTGAGCTTTTCTAACAAACATTTTATGTTATATTATCCCTGGTTACCCTTTTGAAGCCAAACACTCAGCCTTTTCTTTCATTACGCATATTCATCCTTACCTATTTAACCTATATTAGCCATACCCTATAGCTTAAGGGATACCAAGTGGATGTCAAGGAAGATAAATGTTGCGTGTACCGAGGTACCATGTATAGTATTATTTTTATTCTTCTTAAAAATAAAAAATAAAAAAAATAAAAGAGAGAGAGAGAGAGAGAGAGAGAGAGAAGAAAAAAAAAATCAAAAGAATTAGAAAAGAAGAGTTCGAAATTGTTCCATCCTTATGACATGAGTCCTGGACGCCAATAATAGAAGACCCAAGTTTCAAAAGAGAGCCAACCAAATTACATTATGAAGATATCTTGGTATTTCTTAAGCTTTAGTTTTTCCATATCCTTTCTTTGATAGCTTATACCCTAACCTATCATTACAACCCTTGTCAAGACCTTTGATCTTTGGTGTTGCATTGACTTACATTAGTGGAGAGTTGATATGAAGAGCAAGCATATGGGGTTTTATATTGCTTATCATGATTTGAGTGACACTTTGCCCTTTAATGTGTGATTTCTTTCAGAGTGATATTCATGGTAGAGGATTTGAAGCGGAAGCTTTGGTTTGCATATACCTATCCGGGTTGAGTAAGTTGTATTGATATTGGTTATTTCACTCATTACACTTGAGAATGTTGTGTAAGGTTTGGTTAATTTTATTTTGAAAAATGTTTAGTTCTCACTACTACAATATTAGCTTTAGGTGGCAGATGATGGTGTCGGATATTAGAAAAATCCTATCAGATAAATTATATCCGACACATCATTTAATTAGTGGTGGATATTAGAAAAATCATGTCGGTTATATCTGACATAAAGTCCTGGCCGATATTAAGTGGCGGATACTGAAAAAATTTTGTTGGTTATATCCGTCATAAAGCCTTGGCGGATATTTAGTGGCGGATTATGGCTTAATGGTGGCGGTTATAACCGACAGAAATTGACTATTTTATTATTTTACTTTCTGGCAATTATTATTTTAGTATTCTGGTGGTTATAATCGACAGAAATGACAATTTTATTATTTTAAAATGTTATATTGATTAAAAATAAATAAATAAACACATATTTTAAATTATTTTCTTTCACTCATGACACTAAAGTCTAATGAACCCAATTCCCACGAGCCATAAATTTTCTAAGAGAATAATAACAATAGACTACAATCTGAAGCTCTATCATTTTTGTAATAAGGATTATGCTCCCTCATAGGCAAGCAACAAGATACAAAGAAATTCAAACAATTTTTTTCAATGCGTCACAAAGCACATTGCCTGGCACATAAACACACATGAACATCTTGTGTACTCTATCATGTATGATTTTATTATTTTAAAATGTTATAGTGATTATAAATAAATAAATAAACACATGTTTTTAATTTTTTTTTTTTCACTCGGTTGGATATAACCGACACGAATAAAGCAAAATTTTGGACGCCCGCCAAAATAATCTCTGAATGTTTTTTTTTTTTTTTTTTTTTTTTTTTTTTTGCAATTTTTTACACATGCTAACTCGGAGTATATACAAATATATTTGACGGTTGGATCATTGAAACTAGTTTCGTAGAATGCATATCCTATCAAATTGATAGAGTGATAGATTTAACAGACACTTAAGAGTTAATGTTATACTTCCATTAAGTATAAATATTTAAATTGAAGATTGAATTCATTCATTGCATTCTTATAGGATCGAGGAGTGTAGCTGCAAAAAATCATCAAAATCGGAGCTAAAATAACCGTAAAATTGTGATTTTTCGTTAATAACCACTGAAAACTTTTGTTCTGTTACCTAATCTCTAAATGTTTGTTTTATTTTTATTTTTTAAGTATGCGATCTTGGAGTGTGTACAAACAAGTTTGATGGTTGGATCGTTGAAAAACATTTCGTAGAATGCGTATCGCATCAAAACAGTAGATTAAACCAACACTTAGAGTTAATGTTATACTTCCCCATGAAGTTTAAAATAAGATTTTGTGGTATCCACTAGTCTAAATATTTTTAATTGAAGATCAAATTTGTTCAATGCATTCTTATAGGGTTGAGGAGTGTAATTGTAAAAAATCATCAAAATCAGAGCTAAAATAACTGTTAAATTGAGATTTTTCGTTTATAACCGTCGAAAACTTTTGTTCCATTACGTAATCTCTGAATGTTTGTTTTTTACGATTTTTTAAGTATGCTATCTTGGAGTGTATACAAATAAGTTTGATGATTGGATTGTTGAAAAAAGTTTCATAGAATGCATATTGCATCAAAACGGTAGATTAAACAAACACTTAGAGTTAATATTACACTTCTATTAAGTATAATAAGATTTTGTGATATCTACTAGTGTAAATATTTTAAATTAAAGATCAAATTTATTCATTACATTCTTATAAGGTCGAGGAGTGTAGCTGTAAAAAATCATCAAAATCGGAGCTAAAATAACCGTTAAATTGTGATTTTTCATTTATAACCGTCGAAAACTTTTGTTTCGTTATGTAATCTCTGAATGTTTGGTTTTTACGATTGTTTAAGTATGCAATCTCGGAGTGTTTACAAATAAGTTTGACGGTTGGATCGTTGAAAAAAGTTTCGTAGAATACATATTGCATCAAAACAGTAGATTAAACAAACACTTAGAGTTAATATTAAACTTCTATTAAGTATAAAATAAGATTTTGTGATATCTACTAGTGTAAATATCTTAAATTAAAGATCAAATTTATTCATTACATTCTTATAAGGTCGAGGAGTGTAGCTATAAAAAATCATCAAAATCGAAACTAAAATAACCGTTAAATTGTGATTTTTCATTTATAATCGTCGAAAACTTTTGCTCCGTTATGTAGTCTCTGAATATTTGTTTTTTACAATTTTTTAATTATGCAATCTCGGAATGTGTACAAATAAGTTTGACGGTTGGATCGTTGAAAAAAGTTTCGTAGAATACATATTGTGTCAAAACGGTAGATTAAATAAACATTTAGAATTAATATTATACTTCTATTAAGTATAAAATAAGATTTTGTGATATCTACTAGTGTAAATATTTTAAATTAAAGATCAAATTTATTCATTACATTCTTATAAGGTCGAGGAGTGTAGCTGTAAAAAATCATCAAAATCGGAGTTAAAATAACTTTTAAATTGTGATTTTTCGTTTATAACCGTCGAAAACTTTTGTTCCATTATGTAATCTCTGAATGTTTGTTTTTTATGATTTTTTACGTATGCAATCTCAGAGTATCTACAAATAATTTTGACGGTTGGATCGTTGAAAAAAGTTTCCTAGAATGCATATTGCGTCAAAACGGCATATTAAACAAACACTTATAGTTAATATTGTACTTTGTTAAATTTGTGGTATCCACTAGTGTAGATATTTTAAATAGGAGCTAAAATAACCGTTAAATTGTGATTTTTCGTTTATAACCATCGAAAACTTTTGTTCTATTACTAATCTTTGAATTTTTTTTTTTTTTTTTTGTGATCTTGTAGTATCTACAAACAAGTTTGATGGTTAAATCATGGAAACTAGTTTCGTAGAATGCATATCTCCGTTAAATTTGCCTAAATTTTGAAGTGCGAAAAGTAATTTGTGCTAAATTTTTATTTATGTTTTTCAAGTATTGGTTAGGCAATATTTAGTTTGTGTGATGACATTTTCATTGTACAATTATCGGTTTGTTTCTTCATCGCATATTTTACATGAGTTATTATCTATTAAATCAACAATTATTTATTTAA